CTATCTATCTATCTATCTATCTATCTATCTATCTATCTATCTATCATTCTAACGCCTGGGGATCCTAACAGGACTTTTTGTGCTGTTCATTCATCTCTCTGGTAGATCTGGCTCCCCTGTTGTAAATACCTTCATCAAAAAAGTTACATTAGATACCTTTGTATGATATCTACATGTATATGTATGTGTTCGGTGTGTTGTTTGATACTTCTGGTCTGAGCTACCCGACTTCCTGGTTTCATTGAAACTAGAAACGAGCCTGTTTGCATGTTATTTTTCTGCTAAAGCAGCTAAATAAGTTATCACACCAAATACCTCCTAACAGAGTATTTGATGCTGTGTTTAAAACCCACTTCCCGTCCACATAAACTCGCCTTTTTAATGTTTAAATCTGCCGTTTAGTGAGCGACACTCCCTCCGGGGTGCATTCAGAGCTGCATCCTTACAATCAATTCCTGTTCATGTGTAACTCTGATGCAATTACGGTTGTAATCACATCAGTGGGTTTGACTGAAAACCCCCCTGACCTCTTCCTCTGCCCCCTCCAGAGCTGGTTAAACGTCGGTAGCGCCCCCCGGAGGCTGAAGCTGACGGTGTCACCGCCGATGGAAAGCAGCGGCCGGTCGCCGTGGTTACACTCCCTCTCTGTGTCACAGTTTTTACCTGACGAGCGGACTTTTAACCCCACCCAGAGGGAGAGTTATGCGTGTGTGTGCGTGTGTGTGTGTGTGTGTGTCTGTTCGTTTTGTGTCTGAGGAAGGAGGCCCTGGAGAGAATGTACAGAGCTCAGGGATGAAACCAGCATGCCGGGCGGGGTGAAGAGAAGAAGGAGGTGAAAGAGACACGGCGGCGAGAGCTGGACGACTCCTGTTGATCACATGGGAAACAATCCTCCAGACGGCCAGCTCTCAGCTCCCTCTGGGGTTTGTGTGTGTGTGTGTGTGTGTGTGTGTGTGTGTGTGTGTGTGTGGTTGTGTACCTCCACAGGACTAGCTGGTGCTTTGTGGTCGCACCCTGGACTCTTACCATTTTGTGCCCCTGTGACTTTTTTTTAGGGTGTGTGTGTGTGTGTGTGTGTGTTCGGGGGTGGGTGGGTTCACATTATAAGAAGAGGCACAGCTCGTACCTGTTGTTGTTTTTAGAACGTGGTGATGTCAAACTAGAGCAGTCTTACAATTTCCTGTTCCCAAAGCCATTTTCACTTCCTGTGCTGGTTTTTCTTCTGAACGTGGGGCTCTGCTGGGGGGGGCAAACGGGGCTTGTGGGGGGGTGGGGGTTGGTGGTGATATAGCCGGCATTATTGGACAGTTTTATTAACATTCACCCCAAAAAAAAAATCCAGAAAAAATGTCACAACGGTGTTCTCTCTTGCAATCGTTTCCAGCTTTCCCAGCCATTCTGTGGCACGCAGAACATTTACTCTGTTTTACTCCCAAAATAGCCCACAACAGCTGGCCAACGCCGCAAAGGTCACTCCAACGGGAGTAAATGGCTCGTTTGTTGGGACTATTTTGAGCCGGGGATATGGTGCTCGAATGCCTGATCTAATAAGCATTAACATTCACAGATCCGAGCATGGGATTGATTCCATGTTAATTAGGAGACTCCACCTGGCAGAGCCTCCATCCATCAGGCTAAGTTATCATGGTCTTACACAAAGGTTTCATGATTAGCTTCAACACAAGGATCAGGTCCAGTACTAGGGGGTTTAGTTTTGATGTAAATGGCATGTTGATTACAGATGTAGATGGCTTTGGGATCAGGCGTTAGTGTGTCTGTGGGGGGGGCGGGATCAGGGGGATACTGTGCATGTAAATAACCAGCCAATGATTGTTTTGTTGGTTCATTTAGAAAAGGGGTTACAACCTGGGGGCGGGTGGGACCACGGGACAGGCTCACACGTCAAAGTTTTGCTTTCCTGCCTGTTTCTCTTGTTCTCTCTTTTTGCACATCCTCACTTTGCCTTTTTTTTTAAATAGAAAAATGATTTCTAGTCATTTTGCAGGCATTATTCTCGGTTATCTTCTCACTAACTACATAAACCCCCAGAGCTCGTTCACTGGTTCCCCACCAGTGTGGGCTGTTACTTGGAGGAAAATGTATCATACTGTTTGTGATGCTCTGAGTAGTTTTTGTAGCTACAAGTGGAAAACAGGAAGAGGGAATGAGGGAGACAGGGATGAGGTGCAGACCTTCGTGGGTGAAGTTTGAAATAATAAAAGTACACTTTCTACATTAACTATGACTTCTGTCTTTATCTAAACTGTCTCCCTGTGATTTTTCCATAAACTGAGCTGTTTGTCTCCCTGCTTTATTTATGTACGCTGGGACTTTGCTGGATTTTTTAATGCAAATTTTTTATCTATAAATTGTGCTCATAAGATCTCTCAAAACTACCAAATATACTTTCTTAAAATAAAGCACAAGATGTACGAAAAATGGCAATCTGAGAACTGTAAATTTAATTACCTTTTGTAAAAGTGGCAAACTTGTTTTCCACTATTATTCTTTTTAATTAAAATGATAATCTGCAGCAAAGATGTGATTGTAAAACTAAAGTCACAAAAGAGGCGAATGAAGTAAATCGTTTCTTAGAGATGCCACTTTGTTATGAAGTTTACAATGACATTTCTTTTATAGTTCAATTTTTTTTGTTTAAACAAAAAAGCTGTGTTTTGATTACAGTCTTCGAAAGACGTGGGGGTAAAATGAGTTAATGAGACTACTTTGAGTCCGTTTCTGAGAATGTGATAAGACTTGTGCAGGTATTAATGCCTGCTGAAGTAGAAAATGTCACTAAAACAATACTGAATCAGTTACAAATAGAATTTGAAAAATATTGCACATCACCAAACTGGTTGAGCTGCATGAGGTGTCATATCATGTATTCTTTCTTACATTAAAGCCAACATGTATATGTGTAGAATAGTTATTTTGTGGTTAATATTTGTTATGTTTAACTCGGTCTACAGATTAAGTGTGTCAATTACTTGTTTTGCAAACAAGCCAATTAGAAAATAAAAAGCCCTGCTGCCGTTACTGAGGGCATCCTCCGTATCTGTATGACGTCACCAGACACAGATTCAGGCCCGTGTTTATCGGGGGCCGCGGCCTTGGGGCACATTCCCAGAAGGCTGGCGGGGGTATTTTTGTCCCGTGTACCCCCCCCCCTACCCCCCCCCCCCCCCCCCCCCCCACCTCCACCCCACTCCACCCCCCGTTTCCACGCCGGCCGCTCGCATTCCGGAGATGTAACGGAGCGTCCGGCCTCCGCTCACTGGTTGGCCGTGTGGTGCAGCGCGTTGCCATGGCTGCAAGCGCCGGTTACCGTGGAAACCCCAGTGCTTTGTGTATAATCCACCCCGACGAAGTCAGCCAGTTTAAATTAAAAAAAGCCACCTAACAATTACACCTTCACACCCGAAAGTATCCCACTTCTGACCCCCTCCGTACGTAACTGACTCATGTTCCGTGTAACGTTTGGGTCGCGTGCTTCTCAGTGTGTTTGTGGTGTGTTTCCGGTGCTCAAACGGCTACTCGTGTGCTTATGGACGCCTAAAAACGGCGGTTTCCTCCGTAGACAGAGAAGCGAACAAGGTCCAGACAGAGTCCCGACACAAACGGAGCACAGCTGACCGGCAGAAAGGCAGACTGCCCGCGGAACAAAGGGACGGCTCCGGTATGAGCCCTCCCGCCCCCCTCCCCACCCCCCTCCGGTTGGCGCAATGAACCGAGCGCTCCCTCTCATCCCTTCCCGTCATGCAGCGCTGCTGCCTGCTCCTCCGCCGAGCCGCCATGTTGTCGGAGTGAAAGCCTGGGGTGTCGGAGAGAAACTGGGGCCAAAATCCGTGACCATCCACCCTCTCCGCCGGTAGGTATCGCCGTGTCTCCGCTCGAGGCGGCCGGTAAGGTTAGTTGTTCGTGCGCCCGGGTGGATATGGTCGCTTTTCGGGGCCCTAGCGGCGCAAAAAAGCGGCGGGTTTTGTGAGGCGTCCGCCTCCCTTTCAGCTGCCTGCCTCCTTCCTCCCGTTGTGTCGGTCTTCCGCTCCAGACAGCTCTCGGGCCTTTGTTAGCATCCGCGTCACCGGGACCCGGGAGGCTGCGGGCCCGGCGGACAGGGGGAGGCCGGGGGGGGGGGGGGGGGGGGGGGGGGGGGGGGGGGGGGTCGTTAGCTAAATAACAGTGTCGGGAGAATGGCGACGCCTTGGAAAAACACCGACTGGAGGCCGTGTTGTGGTGGGCAGACACGGGAAACGGAGCCTCCACAGCGGCTCCAGGACTGGCCTGAGTCGGGGGGCAGAAACACGGAAAGGAAGCGTCAGGTTTTGCCGTGAACATGCCCCCCCACCACCACACACAGACACACAATCATCTGCATGTTGTCTGGTTTTGTGTGTCATGTGTGACGGGGGGTTGTCGGTCCGTGTGGAGACACCGAGGAAAGCTGCTAGCTGCAGGCCGTCACACCCCTGCCTGCGCCCGGCGTGCAGCGGATCGATCCCGGGCGTTGAACCAGCAACCCTGTGCCCGTTTCCGGGTGCTCTGAGGGGGGGGCGGGGTGGTGGGGGGGGGGGGTTGGATTTCCGGGTGTTTTCTCTGCCTGGTCTGAAGCCCCAGCGCTGGAATAGAGAGCTTACATTTCCTTGTCGGTGGATGAAGAGTTGAGCAAGAAAACAAAGGCAGCAGCACATATGTTAACGATAAGCTGGAGAGCGGGTTTGTTTGGCTGGTGAGAGGTCCCAGAAAACTGCATGTTTCTTCTTTTCTGTCAGTCCCTAAAAGGCCGTTCCTGCTCATCGCCCGGAGGAAAAAGAAGTCTTTGCTATTTTTTTCTCTCAGCCTGCAGGGACACTCGAAGGGACCATCCGATTTCAACCAGAGATCGGAGCTTGTTGGATAAAGAGAGGTTGTAAAATACAAATGATACCCCTCCTGCTGCTAAACACCACTGGGGCCGTTGTGACAAATACAGCCCGTAGCCATAATTTAACCCTCTCCTTTGCATATATCTGAGTCTTCTAGCTTCATATTTAACGCCCGTCACTCTTTATCCAGGTGGAGCAACAAGCTCCCCCTCCGACCTTTTACCAAATTAGGGCCTCCGGTTTGCAAATAAAGTCGGTAATCTCCACCGTGCATGCACACTTTTTGGGTTTTAGGTTTTCTAAATCCACGGTGGCAGCAACTGTGTTTTGTACACTGAGCCCATCCCGATGCAGCCTCGAAGTGTTCGGGTCAGAATTTGAGCTGCCGAGTCCAGTTTTTACTTTACGGAGTCTCCACTTGTTGAAACGAGTGTTGTGCAAACGCTGAGGTCCGACTCTCGTTTTTCAGGCAGAGCCCTTCTGTTCGAACCCTGTCGAAGCACGATATGATATCAGGACTCCGACGGGGGCCTGGGAGTGGTTTCATAACGCATTAAAACCTGGGGGGGGTTAATCAGTGACCTCATGTAAATTCACCTCGTCGGGACGTCCGTGACGACTTCATTTGTCTATTTTGCGCATAATCTCGTTTCAGCCGCTATCTTTTTGGACTTCAAACCATTTGAGGAGAGGGGCCACAGGCACAGTTTCAGCACGTAAATGCATAAATGCAGCTACTTATTAGGAGTTAAATCATCTGCCACGAGGCTAAACTGGCAAAGGGATATTCTGTTATCTTCCTCTGATCATCTGTTGAGTAGCTTGATGGCAAATTGACCTTTGACCCGCTCATGTTTGATCTGTGGTTTTAAAAACATCCATGTTTTCCCCTCTCGGGCTTTACTATACCAACTCTCTGCTGTTTTTTGGACCTGTTTTGGGAAACCACTGATGTAATAACTGCACAAACTCCGCCATTAATCTTGGATTTCTTTCCAAAAAGGGGTTTGTTAGAATTTGAACACACTTGTTACCATCAACCGCTTTGTGTTGGACAGTGAATGCCAGTTAGAAAAAAACCTTTTAATGGATAATTGTAGTTTTTCCTGCAACAAATCTTAGTTTAGTTTCCATCTCTTGTTCATGGTAAAACATTGACCTGAGCTAAGAAACCTTCATAGTACTAAAAAGTTACTGAGGGCTGCACTGTGCTGGAACTGCCTCTGATCTGTGATTAGAAACAATACAAAACTAAAAGGAGGTAAAGATTAAAAATATTAATTCAGGTAGTAGAATGTGACTTATTCTCTCATTTTTTTCTCTCAACAAGGCTCCATAAGATGTAGATGTGATCGGGGGTTAGGATGCTAGTGAAAAGCGTTATTTAAAAACATAATTTAATTAAAAAAACAAACGGCCCTTAAGCCAAGTCTGAGCCCTGGTTGGTGTGTTCTGACCTGTACAGACTTTCTGGTTTGTTGAGTTCTCCCAGCAGGTTGTTTACGCCTCTCTTTGTGTCCACTTGTGGTTAATCTGTACTCCAGCTCCTAAAATGCATTAACTTTGAGCTGTTGCCCAACCAGAAGAGGAGCAGTTGTTCCTGTTGATGGAGACCTCATTGATATTTAGCCGCCCGTGCCTCGTTAAATGATGATCAGAGCAGCCAGCAGGCTTTCTTTGACTTTTATACACAAATAAAAAAGTCCCATTTCAGCCCAGCTCTGTTTGGAAAAAGTAGCATTTGTGTGTGACGTTTATCTCTTCCCTTCACACACAAAGCGCTGCCTGGAAGAACCTTTAAGCCCCTCCGTAAGAGTTCCCACAGCCAAAAGTACCCGGGTACCTTTAGCTAAAGTACAGCTTTTGAGGGCAGAGATGGAGGTCTCGCTTCCTCTGTGTTTTCTGCTGTTCAGACTTCTGTTGCCGGTCCGATCGAGCTGATGGCCCCCAAAGTGTCTCCGTTAGTGGAGGGGAGGCCAGAAACCCGGATGTATAGCAGAACCTCTGCTTATGACGCCTAAACGTACGGATTCTCCAACATCCGAAGCGAAATTCGATCAAATATTCGACTCGACACCCAAAGTAAATGTCATCGAAGACATACGAAAATTTAATATAAATTTTAATATAAAAATGAATAAGCTGAGTTGGTTTAAAGTTCAGGTAGTGAAAGTCAGAGTAAGTTAGGGTTCGTCCTGTATCTCTGTCTCCATCTCTACCGCCGTTTGCCAATCAGTGCCAATAAAAGCCCCTTTTTATTGATTATTTCTTTATAATTGATTTCTTTTTACATCTCTCTTATATAAGTCATTTGTTTCATTGCTATGTGTAATTATCTGCAGTATTTATTAAGGAGCTACGTAGGTTTTTGGAATGAATTATAGGAATTGCAGTGTATTCTGATGGGAATATTTGAACCAACATAGGAATATTTTAACATACGGAGTCGGTCCTGGAACCAGTTAAACTCGTATGCGGAGGTTCTGCTGTGTTTCCCTTCGTTGGCTTGTTGGTGTGACCGGAGCCGGTTCCACCTGGAGCCTCCACAGCCCCCAGCAGATCTCAAACAGACCAAAACACCAAAGAGCATCCAGCCCATCGGGTGGACGGAGGTCCAGGGTCTGAAACGGAGCTGGAGTTTCCCGCTAAAGCCCCTCTGTGTTTGTTTCTGTGTCCCGACAGGCTGTGGTGGAATGAGCAGTGTGTGTGTGTTGAAGAGGAAAACAGTGCTCTGGCAGGATTCATTCAGCCCCCACCATAGAAGTACATCTCCCAGCATGCCAGTGGTGCTGAGCAGTGGAGGACATGCCCCCCCGACTGGACAGACCCCTCAGGCCACGCCCCCCAGCCAGCAGGTAAAGCCCCACCTCCAGTTTCTGAGTGTGTGTGTGTGTGTGTGAGACCTGACAAACGTGGATCTCTCAGTATCTCATAGGCTTGTCCCGATCCGATATTTGCAAAAAGAAGCGTATCGGCCGGCAGGAGAAAATGCAGATCCAGACTCCAGATCCAGTTTTTTTTAAAGTCAGATCCCACAGGAGCATTATCATTAGCATCTCCTGACCCACAGGTCTGTGTCCTAACCATTAGGTTATCAGAGTAAATCCCTGTTCAACATGAGTCTGACAACTAAGTAAGTAGATAAATAACTTCAAACTTTAATACATGCTCTGATGGGCCGGGATCTGATCGGAAGGGCAAAGAATGGATCGGGACGTCCCTTTTATCTCAGATGTCTGTCTCAGATGAGGTGGTTGTCGGGGGGGCGCCTTCGGTCCACAGGCCGACGCCGGCAGCCTCTACCGGAGTGCCGTTGGGCCTCGTACTCAGTGCTACTGACGTTGTTGCTCTGCTTTGATCTCTAAAGGCACCAGATGTCTTATTTTGGAACACGTCTACATTATAGTCATGGTTTGCATAGTGCAGTGCAAAAGGTGGGGGGTATTGCTGATTAGTGTAAAATACCATTCATTCCAAGCTTTTTGCTCTATTTGCATTTGATAAAAAAAATCCCCTGAACCAGATTCTTGTGTTCCTATCTCCTGGTCTTGGGGCTTTTTCCCGGGCTGCCCTTATCTGCTGAGTAAATGGGTTAAGTTTGGGTCAGCCCGGCTTATCGGGCTCCTATCGCTGCAGCGCTGACGGCTGCCAAAGCCAGGAGAGCCTCTTTCTTTATTTCATGTCCCTGTCGGGAAAATGATGAATTATAAGAGCTTTATCTATTTTTCCAGTTTATTCTGAGGCAAAACAAGAGCTCAGTGAAGGGGTTCAAACCCAGTGTTGACGAAGAGCTCAATAATCTTAGTTCTGGTTTGTATTATTTTAGGAGTGAGAAATGTATGAATACATTAAGGTATTCTTTGCATTTAGTTGTTTGAATGTGAAACTTTAAGGTTGTCCTGGCTCATAATCATGATCCCATTAAGCCTCCAGGATCTTAAAGAAATGTGAACAAAATGTGGAATGAATGTGTTTATGAAACTTAAAAAAAATCCCTGTTCAAAGCAACAAAAAAAAAGGAATTTCTAGTGAGAACTTTGACTGTTTGGGATTCTTATCGCACAAGATTGGGACCTATTGATTGAGATAGCTTTTGCATTCTCCCTGTTGGACTTGCTCTGTTTCAAAAGAGGCATCTTAAGGCGGGAGGTCAGTCCCCAGAAGTGACAGCAGCCTCTCCATCGTAGTTTGTTTCCTGGAGAAAAGGTGTGCTGCCTCAGTGGAAACCAGTGACTAAGTACATCTGTTACTCAAACATGTTTTTCTGTGAGTTGTAATTTGGGAAGTTTTCCATTCGCCCCTGAAATGAGTAAGCTAGGAAGTCATCTAGAGCAGCTCTGGTGGATAAACAGGCTTCTTTTTGTTTGATGTGGTCCTAAAAGCCCCGGCTAACATGTTTGGTTGATGACAAACATGCAGAGTTTTTAAATTACACGTCAAGTTAAGATGCTTTTTTTCTTCTTTGAAAAAAAAAAGAAGTCAAAAAGTGTGTGTGTGCAGGGGTTTCCCCAAATGATTTACTGACTTATTTAGGTTGAGAAAGACATCCTTCTCAAAAAGAAAGCATGCTTAAAAGGAAAAGGTTGACAGTTTTAAAAATAAGAAATAGAAAAGTGTCTTGAAGCACGACCCTTGTTTTTATGTGTTAAAATGAAAAATGCTTTATTAGTCCCAGAGGGAAGTTAAATGTTGGTGTAACTCATTTAGTTGATCAAAGCCAGAGCAGAACCAGCCCTCTGGATCAGGTTATTGGGCCTTTTTAGCTCCTGTGAGGCTGTTACCACACAGATGACAACACTCAGCCACAGACCTGCAGAAGATCTGCAGCTTCTGGTGGTCTGTCAGCCTTTCTGGGATGATCTCGTCTCTGCCCATCCCCAGTTTGTTTACTGTGGCCTCCGTCCTGCAGGTTTTAGAGGTTTCTCTGCTTCTACACACCTGAATCGCATCAACACAACATCAGCAGTCCTGAGCAGAGCTGAAGCACCTTTAGAGGAGATCAGTTTGATCAGAATCAGGTGTGATGAAGCAGAGAAACCTGCAGGAAAGGGGCCCAGAGAGGCCTGGAACTGCCCCCCCGGGATTAGAGGGTCAACTCCATGTGCCTCCAGACTAGGCTTGTCCCGATCCTACACAAGCATTAGCATTAGAATCAGAATCAGAATAAGGTTTATTGCCAAGTAGGTTTTTGACTTACAAGGAATTTGCTTTGGTGTTTGGTGCACAACACTTCTATGAGAAGCAAGGAAATACAACGTAGAAATAAAAATATAGAACAGAAAATATAAGACTAAAAAGTACAATCTTTAAAAATATAGATCTGAGAATAGAAATATGGATATAAGACTCAAAGATACAATATTCAACATTAAATTACAAATATCAAAAGTATGTTAGCATCTCCTAACCCACAGGTCTGTGTCCTAACCATTAAGTTATCAGAATAAATCCCTGTTCAACATGAGTCTTGACAACTAAGTAAGTAGATAAATAACTTTAATACATGCTCTGATAGGCTGGGATCGGTATTGGATTGGGACATCCCTACTCCAGACCACGAGAGAAGAGTCTTTGGGCAAAGCTCTGAAGCCTTAATGGCCGAGTGGGTCTCCTGCTGTGTGTCTGGGTGGTGGATGGCGTGTGGTGTGAAGCGCTCCGATTGGTCAGTTCGACTGGAAAAGGCTAAATAGACATTAACCGTTGGTGTGTGCCTGTCCCCCCCCCCCTCAGGGTGTGGCGGGCGCCGGGCGCTCCCAGGACGACGCCATGGTGGACTACTTCTTCCAGCGGCAGCATGGGGAGCAGCCCGGCAAACACCGCTGGCCCACCGGGGACAACATCCACGACAGCCAGGTGAGCTGCTCCCCTACACCCCCACACACACACACACACACACACTCCCCCCCTCTAACCGCAGCCTGTCTGCGTGCAGGTGCGCTCCATGGACGAGCTCAACCACGACTTCCAGGCCCTGGCGTTGGAGGGACGCGCTATGGGAGAGGTGAGCCGGGCTCAGGGAGACGGTGACTCAGCAAAAGGCCTCACACAGTCTGGACTGATTTTTGATGATATGACGGTAAAATGAGAGGAGTTCCCTTTTTCTGTGGCGTCGGAGGCAGAAAACGCCAACGGTCAGTCAAACAGATTCGAAAAAAGGATAAATCCATCAAACCTGTAGTCATGATGAGTCGGCATATTTTAGGGTGACCATATTTTGATTTCCATAACGGAGGACTCTTTGCCTCGAGACAGATCCAGACAGGCTTCTCAGATGTTAATGAATAGGCTTTATTATACCTCAGTGACACAAAAATAACACAATCTGTATCTGTAACAAAACCAGTAAAAAAAATGATAGCCCTCCTTTAAAATACACAAATAAGATCAAATGATGTTCTAAATATGACCTTTTCTATATTAGAAAATACAGCTTCAACTAAATACTTCTGAATACCCTCTTAATCTAATAAATGCAACAGTCTCACAATGATACAAACTCAACAAACAAAAAGGATCTATTCTAACTAAGAGACCCTTTTTGTACAAGGGAATTATTATTTTTTGGTTCGTCCGTGAAGCTGCTCTTTGGTTTGGGCATTTTAGTGCTCCGCTCCGTATGTGTGTATATATGTGTGTGTGTGTGTGTGTGGGTAGAGATGCTTTTAATTTAAGTTCACCGGACTGAGGCCGAGCTCCAGATGGCCCGATCCATCACAGTCATCTGATTTGGAGGGAACGGTGTCACTTTTCTAAGCGCAACTCGACATTTGCTTCTACACCAAACCGTTTGTTTAATTTGGGAATTATTCTCCCACAAGAGTGTTTTTGATGCTGCCGTTGTGCATCGACCCCTTCTGTCATTTGACCGACTCAAAAGTGATAAGAAAAGCGGATAACTCTGCCTTTTATTCTGTTTATCAGCTCCAGAGCTACAGCATTGATCCAGCCCTGCAGTTTGCTTTGGCTTTTTCACAAAGCTGATGAATGCACGCTTTTTGGATTTGAATTTTTTCTCCCCTGCCTGGATTATGTTGGCAGTGAGAGGTGGAGTATTAACAGGTTGCGGAAAGTTTCCACAGTTTTTAGTTTTTCCACTACGAGGAGCTTCAGTTTTAAGTTGAGAGTTTCAGCCAGAAGATGCGAATCACACAGGCAGGCGCTCACAAAGGAAGTCTTTCTCCAGTGGTTTAAAAAAGCAAAAAGGGGCTGTTGTAATAGTACGTGAGAAATAAAGATAAACAGCTCAGCTGCTGATAAGATGCCAGAATCCAGACACGGGGCAAATGTGTTCATAGCAGCTCAGATTTCCAGTGAAACACACTTTTTACACGACCAGCCGCCGTTGCCATAGCGTTCGGTTCTGCTTTTCATTTACTAATCGAGTAAAAATGACCTATTTGTTTAGTGTAAAATGAGGAAAAAGGGCCTCCAGCAGGCACAGAAATCAGAAGTCGTGGCTTTAGGAAACTCACCCCCCTCCCAGGATGTTATAACTGAGTTTAACCTGGTCTTTCTCCGTCTTTTTCTCCTTTTTGTTTTCATCTCTGCAGCAGCTCCTAACCGGGAAGAAGTTCTGGGAGACGGATGACTCTGGGAAAGACGGACC